CTCCCGCTTCTGGATCAGGTAAGAAGTTGGGCCCTATGCATTCGGAGACGTTGGTGTCGACCGGTTGGGGTGTAACATAACCGTTGTCGGCGAAGTCGTAGTTGACTTTGGCGTTGCCACTTTCGCAAGGGTTTTCGTCATCCATCAGGATGGGCACGGAGCAGTATGGGAGTGGTCCTGCTTCCTCGGATGCGCCGTCCACGTTTTGCTCGTCCCACTCAGCTTCGTCAGCTGGTGTGGCAAAGGCTCGGTTGCCACGGAAGCCGCCAGTGAGGTCTCGATCAGCTGCCAGGTTGTCCAGGTACGTTTGAAGAGAGAGTCGTTTGTAGAAAAATGACATCACGTGCTGCCACTGTTTCCTTCGAGTGGACGTCGAAAATCTTCCATGCGTTGTAATGTTTTTCGATGCCCAGGTGTAGTCCCCACTGTGCGCGTTGTGAAAATCTTCCGGCTCTTGCAGTGTGCGGTCAGTATTGTACCATACACCCAACAACTCTTAACATTTTTGTGTTGCCTAGTTTTCCTGCCCACAGCAGGTGCGGTGATGCGTTGTTCGGAAGCGATGATGACGAGAGCAAGTTGTGCAGCATGACAGCGTGGTCCATCGTCTCGGGCCACTGGTGGTTGGGCAGTCACATGCCGCGTAGCAGTTTGCGCATGGTGTTCTGGAGGGTCCTGTTCATTCTTTCTGCCACGCCTTGCTGTTGATGGGCGTAGGGAAGCGAGATGAGTCGCTTGATGCCTCGTTCTGCTAGGTACTGCTTGAACCTTTGTGACTGATATTCTCCTCCCCCGTCTGACTGGAAGCTTTTCAACTTCACTCCTGATTCTCGTTTTGCCACAGGTAGCCAAGCGACGAAGGCTTCGAAGGCCATGTCGCGACTCGGAAGGTTGAGATGCCAGATGTATTTGGTAGCGGCGTCGATAAAGGTGATGACGTAGTTGTATGCTCCCTGTCCGTGTTCGCGGGTATACAAGATGTCGCTGTAGACTTTCTCCAATGGTGCGTAAACTGGCACGCTCAGATTGTGGTGAGAGACAATCAGTTGATGAGGTAAGTCGGCTTCGGGGCACGTAAAGCATGTACCTCGGACTCGTTGAAGTTCTCTGCCGTCGGTTAGAACTAGGGAGTCTTTGTCGAGTACTCCTGCCCTGATCGTGTTGTTTAACGTTGTGTTGCTTGGGTGACCCAATCTTTCGTGCCACAGTGATTCACTCGCGCGGTGTCCTGGTGAGCGCCTGTATAGGTCGGAGTTGGAATAGAAGCCGGTGGTGAAGTTGGCGCTTCTGTGGACTTCTCGTGGAGTGGGAGTCAACTGCTGAGCGGAAGTCGGTGGCATGTCGTCGATGAGGACCGGTGTTCTTGAGGGACCAGCGAGTGATGTCATGGTTGTTATTGCTGCTACCGATGTTGTCTCTGCTGCTGCCAATGTTGTTGCGACTGCTGTCGATGTTGTTTCTGCTGCTGCCGATGTTGTTTCTGCTTGTCGAATTGTTGCTAACGCTCTTGTTGTTTCTGCTTCAGGTATGGTGTGTGAGTTCCAAAATCCTCTAGGACTGAAGTCGGGGTCGAGATCTGGCGGATGTGTCCACGATTTTACGTTGACGATGGTGTTGCTATCGGCGGTGCCTTGGTCTGGAACGAAGTCAAGAACGAAGACATTATTCTTCAAGACCGCCTTGCCGATGTAAAGTCCACCTTTCCCGTGGTACAGCTTGAACTCCTGAGTGGTGCTGTCTGCTTCGAGATGAATTCCCTTCGCCATCAGTTGACTGACGCTGAGTAAGTTATAACCGAGTCCTTCTGCGATTAAAACCTTCGACATTTGTAGAATACCGTTGGTTTCTCGAGATTGAAGTTGAACTATCCCTTGTCATCGTGTGTGCAGGTTCTGGTTGTTGGCGACGGTGATTATGACTTCGCGCTGAAGTTTGTGTTCCTGTTGAACGAAGCGACCCGAGGAACACATGTGCTGTCCGCAGCAGCTGTCCAAGAACCTGGTGTCTTTCCTGGACGGCTCGCTCTGGGCGATGGCTGCATACGTCGGGTTGGGCTCTAGTGATTCGCGGCGAGGAGTGCTCTCGTCGAGCTGTTTTTCTGGTGAGTAGTACGGTGGTGATCCGGTGATGTAGGAGTCTGTCGTTCTTATCATGCAGCTCACGATGTTTCTTGTACCTTGTGAAGGTTTTGTCGTCGATGGCGTCGAGGACTGTACTTGATCGGTGGGATGCGCCTGTGTAGAAGTCACTTGACTGCTTGAGGGCCGAAGTTGGCGTTGCAGCGACGTTGACTGCTGCTGATTCGGGCAGTGTGTGCGAGGGTGTCCTGATGTCTTGCAGAGATGGCAGAATGGTGGTACGTACTGTTGAGCTTGTTGTTTTTTCTGTCGATTATTGTTGTTGTTGTAGCGTCGTTGAGTGTGAAACGCGAACTCTGGTGCTGACGCTCTCTTCTTGTGTCGTTCTTCATGTAGGTCCATGTCCTGCTGTTCAGCGTGAATTTCGGCGCAAAGTGCCGCTTCGGAGATCTTTCCGTGAGCTCGGAGAATAGCTCGAGTGGAGCGCCAATGGGGACCGAGGCCAGTGATCACAATTGTCACGAAAGCTTCTTCGGATATCGATCCTCCGCATCGAAGGAGTCCGTCGCGCAGTCCACGACAACGGCTGATATACGCCATCCCCTTTTCGCCGGGTTTCATTTCCACTGTTGTCAGCTGTGCCATGAGACGACTTTGATTAACATTGTCTGTTGCTTGATACAGGTCCTTCAGGTGGTTGTACGCGAGCTCGGCGGAGTTGCCGTACCCTCGATAAGACCGGATGTTCTGCTGTTCGTTCGGAGTTATGTTCCGCAGAAGAATTCTGTACGCCATCAGTGACTGATACGTGTACTGTTGCTTGTCGTACTGTGTCCCGTGTGTTGGATATGGCAGGGATTCGTCGAAGATTCCGAGAATCTGCGCGCCTTCCATCATTAGCTCAAACTCGAATGACCAGGTATAGAAGTCTTTTCCGTCGAAGGGTGTCGATGTCTGCAGTTTCAAAACGTGTGCGAACTGTGATTGGACCTGAAGCGCGTCTAGTGTCTTCTCTTGTCCAGGTGAAGACTGTTGGTGTGGCATGAAGCTGATGGAGCCACGTTGAGGTTCGTACAGGGCAAAGGTAGGTTGCTGCTTGTTTCCGCGCGCATAGGATGAGCCGTCAAGGCTCATTGGAGTAACTTCATTGTTGTTGTCGCTGTTGTTTGATTGCGCAGGTGCTGCTTGCTGATGCTGCTCGTAGAAGGTCATGAAAGAGAAGAATTTTTCCATCAAGCTTGGGTCGAGGCCTGCTGCCCGGTTAGCAGGAGTTTCAGTAGACTCAACTGCTGGTCTTGTCGTTGTGCCTCTTTCCGTCTGTAGGCCAGAGGCTGGAGGTGGAGTAGATGTAGTACCGGGAGATCCGTTGGAGGAACTCCTCTCCTTCTGGGTTGCCATGCCTTGTGATGTTGTAGAGGTTTAAATAGTCGATCTTGCCTTGGAGGCTGTCATACCATGTTGGACTGAGAAAACCCCGTAGGATCTTTTCAAGGCTAAGAGAGAGATGTTGTAATTGCGGAAGCGTATAGTAAGTTTTGTTGAACTTACCTTGCAGTAGTGTGTGAGAGCAAGATAGATTGATTAAAGCAAAGAGATACAAGGATATATATATGTTTACAAGGAATACGAAGAGGTGTAACTTAACTGTTTTGCTGTTGCGGTTCGATACAGTAGCAACTCGGGCAACTGCTCAATACCGAGCCAGTTGTTTGTCCTTGCTGTCGCGCTGCATTTCGTCAAGTCAAAGGTCAGCGACCTTTGACCTTCGCGTAACCTCCAGCTGTTACTTTCTGTCAACCTCCTCGGTTGACTCGATTGTTACTTCACTGTAGTCTGCTTCATTTGTGTTATTACTTCGATACTTCAGAAACGCCAATTATGTGTTTGCAACAGACATTCCTTAAGTGGAATATAATACCATGATATAGTGTTAAACGCTTACACACACATCGTGCTGATGCAGGACTGAAATTGAAACCGACGAGGTTCAATAACAGGGAATTCGAAATTAAAGTCGTTTGTATGTATGCACTATGAAGCCAATTTCATGATAAGTGGGAACAGTTAATATCGCGAGTCTCCCTTGACTTCACTTTCAATAATGCGGAACTTTTCTATTCGATTAGAGATCCTGACGCGGTATCTTACCGCGTTCAAAATGGTTTTCGGTTTTAACCGCTTTAGACCATTCCACACCAGATTAAGATATTTCAGTCACTCGTAAGATGCGGGAATGGCATCTGCATGACCCAATTCAATCCCCCCAAATTACTCGCTAGCATCCCACCCCACGGAGGCTCCGCCACGCCGAAGTGTTTCCCGAACGCGTTCTCTGCGACTACTTTCTAGCGATGAGTACAGCCCAAAGCTTGGCGCCCGTGACGGGCAAGGTGTGCACCTCCAGTCACAGGGGTCCCCGCCTCGCGCATTCTGCGGGTCACACTGAAGCTGCTGTCGTATATAATGATCCGCGAGGGATTGCCCTCTTCACTATCATAACTGCATTTAGCACCAAACCTGTCGGTGCTGTAAATCTTACAACTTTCTCCGGCGCTCTTCCAGCTTTCATTGATTAGCTGCACCATCTTCGTGCTATTTTCCAGCCAAAATCTTCTCCGAGAGTCCTCTCGCGAGCCCTTCGACATCTGGTACGGCCGTCACGGGCGAAGAGTCGGTCGCGCGGCACGCGGCAGCAGCATGGGGAAGGGCAAGGCAGTGCTCGCGCTGCTCGCCGTTATAGTCGTCATCGCTGGTACGGCACATTGTCTTTGTGTGCTCATTCCACCCCGTGTACCCACCTTACATCTGATCATACGAGTCGTCATGGCCGTCACCGTTGGTACGCCGCATCATATTTGTGCGCTCACGACCTCATGCACCAATGTACCCATCCTCGCATCGCCATCTTGCTCGCGCGTTCAAATGCACCTCACGGACACGAGACTGAGTGCACCTCACGCCCGCTCGCCCCGTCTTCGCATTTCACGTGCTCCCATCCTTGCAGCGAGTCCCCTGCGGGCATCATCGCAGGCAGCAGACGCTGCATCGAGTAAGGCGGAGAGCGAGGATGACCAAGTGATTGGCACGCGGATGACGATCAACGGCCGCTCTCTCACCTTCAATGCGCTCCGCTGTGCCGCCATTCCAGCCGGCAAGACGAGGAGAGTGCAGGTGTCGTGGCAGCAGGAAGGCGAGGCGGATTGCACGGCAATTCAGTTCTTCAAGAGTCCCAAGTGCACGGGGAAGGCGATGGACACTGTCGCGCAAGGCAAGCAGAGGTGAGCCCCTCGTTCTCACTCTATCTGCTTCGATGTTCTTCGCGCCATTCCTTCATCCCCCACCTGACCAGCGACGTTGCTCTCATAGTGCCTCCCCGTGCCCGTGCGCAGGTCCAAGCCCCTCCGCAGGGCAGTTACGTCCGCCCGCTGCATCATTGGTACCACCAACACCAAAGCTCTTGACGGCAAGACCAAAGCAGCTGACGGCAACACCAAAGCTGCTGACAGCAACACAAAATCTGCTGACAGCAACACCAAAGCTGCTGACAGCAACACCAAAGCTGCTGACAGCAACACCAAAGCTGCTGGCGGCAACACCAAAGCTGCTGACGGCAACACCAAAGCTGCTGACGGCAACACCAAAGCTGCTGACGGCAACACCAAAGCTGCTGACGACAACACCAACGCTGCTGACAGCAACACCAAACCTCCTGGCAGCAAAATCAAAGCTCCTTCTGAATACCCCGACGCAGAGAGTTCAAGCAGTAAGCCCCAGTGCGGTTGTTCGCCATCCCATTCTCACCCAAATCGATCTGGTTCCCACGCGAGGGGGCTGTGTTGGGGCTGGCATCGCTTGCGCCCCTGGGAAGCACAGTTGCCTGATCAAAGCATTTCAGTACTGGCAGCAGCGATGCTCCTCGTCTTCTCTGCCCTTTCCTGCCCCACGGATCCTCCAATGTTATCCTCCTTGCGACTCCTGTCCTTACCCTCCTCTGCTCCTTGTGTGTTTCACCCGCCAGCCGGCGCGTGTGGCTTCGACAGAGTCAACGGGTGTTTGGTGGGCACGTGCATCGACCGTGGCACCGAGGACAGGACCTGCGTGTGTCTGCCCAACCACCGCTCCCATGGCCACTACTGTGGTAAGCTCACATGGCCGCTACTGTGGTAAGCTCTCATGGCCGCTCCTGTGGTAAGCTCTCATGGCCGCTCCTGTAGTAGGCTCTCATGGCCGCTCCTGTGGTAGGCTCTCATGGCCGCTCCTGTGGTAAGCTCTCGTGGCCGCTCCTGTGGTAAGCTCTCGTGGCCGCTCCTGTGGTAAGCTCTCATGGCCGCTACTGTGGTGAGCTCTCATGGCCGCTCCTGTGGTAAGCTCTCTCGCTGCTCACAACACTCCTGACAATGGTCTATACTGCAGCAAACATATGTTCACACATTGAAACTCAAGGTGTGTGTTTTTCTTCCATGGCAGATCAGCATTGGGAGCCCATTTCGTCCATCACAGTGGCGGGCAGCGACTGGAGGTGCAAGGATGTGTACAGCATGTATGGCCTCACGCTGCAGCAGTTCACCCATATGAACCCGGTGAGACCTGCAACATGCTGCGTGCAAGCCATACCATCTCAATTCCTGCAAGCCTGTGTGCCTTAATCGAGCATCTCGATCCATTATTGTTTCTTTACCCCCTCGGCCTCACAATCTTTCCACCTCACCTCTCTCTCACCCTCTTCCTCTCTCAACCTCTCCCTCTCTCGCCCTCTCTCTCTCCCTCTGCTCCACTGTCTCCATCTCTCTCACCCTCTCCCTCTCTCACCGCCCCTTCCCCTCCAGGGTATCGACTGCTCTGCTCTCCTTCCTCAGGGTCGCGAGCTCGTGGTGAAAGAGCTTCTGCCAGAGTGCTCTGCCTTCTACTACGTCCAGCCTGTGAGTCTCGCATGTTACTCCTGCTATGGGAGCATCCCATGCAACACGTATGGATAGCGGGGATGCTGCCATGTGCTGTGTTTCCTCTTCCCCCTTCACTCTTCGCCTGACCATCCTTCGCCCAAGCAGGAAGTCCACGTGCTACTCGGTCCTTTTTGCACCTTAGCGTTCCACTACCTCTGTGTTGCTGCATCTTCCTTCACCCCCTTTGACCACCTCTTTCCTTCTCACACCACCCCCACCCCTCCCCCCCCCCTGCATACCATCAACCCCTTCCCTTCCTCTTCCACAGGCCGACACATGCTCGTCCGTGGCTCAGTTTCTCGACATCACCGAGAAAAGCCTGCAGCAGCTCAACCCCGGTGTTAGCTGCTCCTCTCGCCTCCTTGCGTTCCGCGCTCTCTGTGTGGAGCGCAACCCAGCCAAGGCCAGGCCGACCTGTGAGAAGGAGATACAGATCGGCCAAGTGGTGGACTTCAAGCAGGTGGCGGCATCCAATGGAGCCACCATGCTGGACCTCTGCAGGCTCAACCCCTGGATCTCCTTCCGCGATTCCCTGCGCGACATTGATGGTGTAAGTTCAAGGCAAATGACTGAGTAGTGGCTGGTTTTGAATTACTGGTGGATGCATATTTCATATACTAGTCATATTTTGTAAGATGAATGAATTCCCATTTGCCAGCATGGTTTGTAGCTTCTAATGATTCCTTGACTCCTGTGTGTTCCATTGCAACTGGTGCATCTTCTATTGCAGCTTTGTGTGGCTGCCCGATACGCTACACCTCCTCCCAGCGACGACACCACACCACCTCCCAGCGACGACACCACACCACCTCCCAGCGACGACACCACACCACCTCCCAGCGACGACACCACACCACCTCCCAGCGACGACACCACACCACCTCCCAGCGACGACACCACACCACCTCCCAGCGACGACACCACACCACCTCCCAGCGACGACACCACACCACCTCCCAGCGACGACACCACACCACCTCCCAGCGACGACACCACACCACCTCCCAGCGACGACACCACACCACCTCCCAGCGACGACACCACACCACCTCCCAGCGACGACACCACACCACCTCCCAGCGACGACACCACACCACCTCCCAGCGACAACACCACACCTCCTTCTGAGTACCCCGACGAAGAGAGTTCAAGCAGTAAGCCCCGATACGGTTGTTCGCCATGCCACCTCCATTCTCGCCCAAACCGATAGGCTTCCCATGCGAGGGGGCTATGTTGGGGCTGGCATCGCCTGTGCCCCTGGGAAGCACCGTTGCCTGATCAAAAGCATTTCAGTACTGGCAGCAGCGATGCTCCTCGTCTTCTCTGCCCTTTCCTGCCCCACGGATCCTCCAATGTTATCCTCCTTGCGACTCCTGTGCTTACCCTCCTCTGCTCCTTGTGTGTTTCACCCGCCAGCCGGCGCGTGTGGCTTCGACAGAGTCAACGGGTGTTTGGTGGGCACGTGCATCGACCGTGGCACCGAGGACAGGACCTGCGTCTGTCTGCCCAACCACCGCTCCCATGGCCGCTACTGTGGTAAGCTCTCATGGCCGCTACTGTGGTAAGCTCTCATGGCCACTACTGTGGTAAGCTCTCATGGCCGCTCCTGTGGTAAGCTCTCATGGCCGCTCCTGTGGCAAGCTCTCATGGCCGCTCCTGTGGTAAGCTCTCGTGGCCGCTACTGTGGTAAGCTCTCATGGCCGCTACTGTGGTGAGCTCTCATGGCCGCTCCTGTGGTAAGCTCTCATGGCCGCTCCTGTGGTAAGCTCTCGTGGCCGCTACTGTGGTAAGCTCTCATGGCCGCTACTGTGGTAAGCTCTCATGGCCACTCCTGTGGTAAGCTCTCATGGCCGCTCCTGTGGTAAGCTCTCATGGCCGCTCCTGTGGTAAGCTCTCGTGGCCACTCCTGTGGTAAGCTCTCATGGCCGCTCCTGTGGTAAGCTCTCATGGCCGCTCCTGTAGTAGGCTCTCATGGCCGCTCCTGTGGTAAGCTCTCATGGCCGCTCCTGTGGTAAGCTCTCGTGGCCGCTCCTGTGGTAAGCTCTCATGGCCTCTCCTGTGGTAAGCTCTCATGGCCGCTCCTGTGGTAAGCTCTCATGGCCGCTACTGTGGTAAGCTCTCATGGCCGCTCCTGTGGTAAGCTCTCATGGCCGCTCCTGTGGTAAGCTCTCATGGCCGCTCCTGTGGTAAGCTCTCGTGGCCACTCCTGTGGTAAGCTCTCATGGCCTCTCCTGTGGTAAGCTCTCATGGCCGCTCCTGTGGTAAGCTCTCGTGGCCGCTCCTGTGGTAAGCTCTCATGGCCGCTCCTGTGGCAAGCTCTCATGGCCGCTCCTGTGGCAAGCTCTCGTGGCCGCTACTGTGGTAAGCTCTCATGGCCGCTACTGTGGTGAGCTCTCATGGCCGCTCCTGTGGTAAGCTCTCATGGCCGCTCCTGTGGTAAGCTCTCGTGGCCGCTACTGTGGTAAGCTCTCATGGCCGCTACTGTGGTAAGCTCTCATGGCCACTCCTGTGGTAAGCTCTCATGGCCGCTCCTGTGGTAAGCTCTCATGGCCGCTCCTGTGGTAAGCTCTCATGGCCGCTCCTGTAGTAGGCTCTCATGGCCGCTCCTGTGGTAAGCTCTCGTGGCCGCTCCTGTGGTAAGCTCTCATGGCCTCTCCTGTGGTAAGCTCTCATGGCCGCTCCTGTGGTAAGCTCTCATGGCCGCTACTGTGGTAAGCTCTCATGGCCGCTCCTGTGGTAAGCTCTCATGGCCGCTCCTGTGGTAAGCTCTCATGGCCGCTCCTGTGGTAAGCTCTCGTGGCCACTCCTGTGGTAAGCTCTCATGGCCTCTCCTGTGGTAAGCTCTCATGGCCGCTCCTGTGGTAAGCTTTCATGGCCGCTCCTGTGGTAAGCTCTCATGGCCGCTCCTGCGGTAAGCTCTCATGGCCGCTCCTGTAGTACGCTCTTATGGCCGCTCCCGTGGTAAGCTCTCGTGGCCGCTATTGTGGTAAGCTCTCATGGCCGCTCCTGTGGTAAGCTCTCATGGCCGCTACTGTGGTAAGCTCTCATGGCCGCTCCTGTGGTAAGCTCTCATGGCCGCTCCTGTGGTAAGCTCTCATGGCCGCTCCTGTAGTACGCTCTCATGGCCGCTCCTGTGGTAAGCTCTCGTGGCCGCTACTGTGGTAAGCTCTCATGGCCGCTCCTGTGGTAAGCTCTCATGGCCGCTCCTGTGGTAAGCTCTCATGGCCGCTCCTGTGGTAAGCTCTCATGGCCGCTCCTGTGGTAAGCTCTCATGGCCGCTCCTGTAGTAGGCTCTCATGGCCGCTCCTGTGGTAAGCTCTCATGGCCGCTACTGTGGTAAGCTCTCATGGCCGCTCCTGTGGTCAGCTCTCATGGCCGCTCCTGTGGTAAGCTCTCATGGCCGCTCCTGTGGTAAGCTCTCGTGGCCACTCCTGTGGTAAGCTCTCATGGCCTCTCCTGTGGTAAGCTCTCATGGCCGCTCCTGTGGTAAGCTTTCATGGCCGCTCCTGTGGTAAGCTCTCATGGCCGCTCCTGTGGTAAGCTCTCATGGCCGCTCCTGTAGTACGCTCTTATGGCCGCTCCCGTGGTAAGCTCTCGTGGCCGCTACTGTGGTAAGCTCTCATGGCCGCTCCTGTGGTAAGCTCTCATGGCCGCTACTGTGGTAAGCTCTCATGGCCGCTCCTGTGGTAAGCTCTCATGGCCGCTCCTGTGGTAAGCTCTCATGGCCGCTCCTGTGGTAAGCTCTCGTGGCCACTCCTGTGGTAAGCTCTCATGGCCTCTCCTGTGGTAAGCTCTCATGGCCGCTCCTGTGGTAAGCTTTCATGGCCGCTCCTGTGGTAAGCTCTCATGGCCGCTCCTGTGGTAAGCTCTCATGGCCGCTCCTGTAGTACGCTCTTATGGCCGCTCCCGTGGTAAGCTCTCGTGGCCGCTACTGTGGTAAGCTCTCATGGCCGCTCCTGTGGTAAGCTCTCATGGCCGCTACTGTGGTAAGCTCTCATGGCCGCTCCTGTGGTAAGCTCTCATGGCCGCTCCTGTGGTAAGCTCTCATGGCCGCTCCTGTAGTACGCTCTCATGGCCGCTCCTGTGGTAAGCTCTCGTGGCCGCTACTGTGGTAAGCTCTCATGGCCGCTCCTGTGGTAAGCTCTCATGGCCGCTCCTGTGGTAAGCTCTCATGGCCGCTCCTGTGGTAAGCTCTCATGGCCGCTCCTGTAGTAGGCTCTCATGGCCGCTCCTGTGGTAAGCTATCATGGCCGCTCCTGTGGTAAGCTCTCGTGGCCGCTCCTGTGGTAAGCTCTCGTGGCCGCTCCTGTGGTAAGCTCTCATGGCCGCTACTGTGGTTAGCTCTCATGGCCGCTCCTGTGGTAAGCTCTCTCGCTGCTCACAACACTCCTGACAATGGTCTATACTGCAAACATATGTTCACACATTGAAACTCAAGGTGTGTGTTTTTCTTCCATGGCAGATCAGGATTGGGAGCCTATTTCGTCCATCACAGTGGCGGGCAGCGACTGGAGGTGCAAGGATGTGTACAGCATGTATGGCCTCACGCTGCAGCAGTTCACCCATATGAACCCGGTGAGCCCTGCCACATGCTGCGTGCAAGCCATACCATCTCAATTCCTGCAAGCCATACCATCTCAATTCCTGCAAGCCATACCATCTCAATTCCTGCAAGCCATACCATCTCAATTCCTGCAAGCCATACCATCTCAATTCCTGCAAGCCATACCATCTCGATTCCTGCAAGCCATACCATCTCAATTCCTGCAAGCCATACCATCTCAATTCCTGCAAGCCATACCATCTCAATTCCTGCAAGCCATACCATCTCAATTCCTGCAAGCCATACCATCTCAATTCCTGCAAGCCATACCATCTCAATTCCTGCAAGCCCTACCATCTCAATTCCTGCAAGCCCTACCATCTCAATTCCTGCAAGCCATACCGTCTCAATTCCTGCAAGCCATACCGTCTCAATTCCTGCAAGCCATACCATCTCAATTCCTGCAAGCCTGTGTGCCTTAATCGAGCATCTCGATCCATTATTGTTTCTTTACCCCCTCCGCCTCACACTCTTTCCACCTCACCTCTCTCTCACCCTCTTCCTCTCTCAACCTCTCCCTCTCTCGCCCTCTCTCTCTCCCTCTGCTCCACTGTCTCCATCTCTCTCACCCTCTCCCTCTCTCACCGCCCCTTCCCCTCCAGGGTATCGACTGCTCTGCTCTCCTTCCTCAGGGTCGCGAGCTCGTGGTGAAAGAGCTTCTGCCAGAGTGCTCTGCCTTCTACTACGTCCAGCCTGTGAGTCTCGCATGTTACTCCTGCTATGGGAGCATCCCATGCAACACGTATGGATAGCGGGGATGCTGCCATGTGCTGTGTTTCCTCTTCCCCCTTCACTCTTCGCCTGACCATCCTTCGCCCAAGCAGGAAGTCCACGTGCTACTCGGTCCTTTTTGCACCTTAGCGTTCCACTACCTCTGTGTTGCTGCATCTTCCTTCACCCCCTTTGACCACCTCTTTCCTTCTCACACCACCCCCACCCCTCCCACTCCCCTGCCTACCATCAACCCGTTTCCTTCCTTTTCCACAGGTCGACACATGCTCGTCCGTGGCTCAGTTTCTCGACATCACCGAGAAAAGCCTGCAGCAGCTCAACCCCGGTGTTAGCTGCTCCTCTCGCCTCCTTGCGTTCCGCGCTCTCTGTGTGGAGCGCAACAAAGCCAAGACCAAGCCGATATGTGTGAAGGAGATACAGATCGGCCGAGTGGTGGACTTCAAGCAGGTGGCGGCATCCAATGGAGCCACCATGCTGGACCTCTGCAGGCTCAACCCCTGGATCTCCTTCCGCGATTCAATGCGCGACATTGATGGTGTAAGATTCTGGCAAATGACTGAGTAGTGGCTGGTTGTGCATTGCTGGTGGATATATACGTCATATACAACTCATATTTTGTAAGATGAATGAATTCCCATTTGCCAGCATGGTTTGTAGCTTCTAATGATTCCTTGACTCCTGTGTGTTCCATTGCAACTGGTGCATCTTCTATTGCAGCTTTGTGTGGCTGCCCGATACGCTACACCTCCTCCCAGCAACGACACCACACCTCCTCCCAGCGACGACACCACACCACCTGCCAGCGACAACACCACACCTCCTTCTGAGTACCCCGATGAAGAGAGTTCAAGCAGTAAGCCCCGATACGGTTGTTCGCCATGCCACCTCCATTCTCGCCCAAACCGATATGCTTCCCACGCGAGGGGGCTGTGTTGGGGCTGGCATCGCTTGTGCCCCTGGGAAGCACAGTTGCCTGATCAAAGCATTTCAGTACTGGCAGTAGCGATGCTTCTCGCCTTCTCTGCCCTTTCCTGCCCCACGGATCCTCAAATGTTATCCTCCTTGCGACTCCTGTGCTTACCCTCCTCTGCTCCTTGTGTGTTTCACCCGCCAGCCGGCGCGTGTGGCTTCGACAGAGTCAATGGGTGTTTGGTGGGCACGTGCATCGACCGTGGCACCGAGGACAGGACCTGCGTCTGTCTGCCCAACCACCGCTCCCATGGCCGCTACCGTGGTAAGCTCTCATGGCCGCTACTGTGGTAAGCTCTCATGGCCGCTCCTGTGGTAAGCTCTCATGGCCCTCCTGTGGTAAGCTCTCATGGCCGCTCCTGTGGTCAGCTCTCATGGCCGCTCCTGTGGTAAGCTCTCATGGCCGCTCCTGTGGTAAGCTCTCATGGCTGCTCCTGTGGTAAGCCCTCGTGGCCGCTCCTGTGGTAAGCTCTCATGGCCGCTCCTGTGGTAAGCTCTCATGGCCGCTCCTGTGGTAAGCTCTCATGGCCGCTCCTGTGGTAAGCTCTCATGGCCGCTCCTGTAGTAGGCTCTCATGGCCGTTCCTGTGGTAAGCTCTCGTGGCCGTTCCTGTGGTAAGCTCTCGTGGCCGCTCCTGTGGTAAGCTCTCGTGGCCGCTCCTGTGGTAAGCTCTCATGGCCGCTACTGTGGTGAGCTCTCATGGCCGCTCCTGTGGTAAGCTCTCTCGCTGCTCACAACACTCCTGACAATGGTCTATACTGCAAACATATGTTCACACATTGAAACTCAAGGTGTGTGTTTTTCTTCCATGGCAGATCAGGATTGGGAGCCCATTTCGTCCATCACAGTGGCGGGCAGCGACTGGAGGTGCAAGGATGTGTACAGCATGTATGGCCTCACGCTGCAGCAGTTCACCACCATGAACCCGGTGAGCCCTGCCACATGCTGTGCCGAGCCATCTCAATTCCTGCAAGCCGGTGTGCCTTTTCGTTTCTGTACGCCCTCCGCCTCTCACCCTCTCCCTCTCTTTCCTCCGCCTCACCTCTTGCTCACCCTTTCTCTCTCACCCTCTCCCTCTCTCACCCTCTCCCTCTCTCACTGCCCCTTCCCCTCCAGGGTATCGACTGCTCCGCTCTCCTTCCTCAGGGTCGCAAGCTCGTGGTGAAAGAGCTTCTGCCAGCTTGCACTGCCTTCTACTACACCCAGCCTGTGAGTCTGACATGTTGCCACCATCTGCTGTGCTTCCTCTTCACCCTTCACTCTTCGCCTGACCATCTTTCGTCCAAGCAGCAGAAAGACAACGTGCCACTTCGTCTTCTTTCACCCCTTTTTACCACCTCTTTCCATCTGAAATCCCCTCCCTACCATTTTCCCTTTAATTTCCCTCCCACAGGCCGACACGTGCTCGTCCGTGGCTCAGTTTCTCAGCATCACCGAGGAATCCCTGCAGCAGCTCAACCCCGGCGTTAGCTGCTCCTCTCGCCTCCTTGCATTCCGCGCTCTCTGTGTGGAGCGCAACCCAGCCAAGGCCAAGCCGAGATGTGTGAAGGAGATACAGATTGGCCAAGTGGTTGACTTCAAGCAGGTGGCGGCATCCCATGGAGCCACCATGGTGGACCTCTGCAGGCTCAACCCCTGGATCTCCTTCCGCGATTCCGCGCGCGACATTGATGGAGTAAGTTTGGGCACATCTATAGCTTCTCTATTGCGAGGGGTGTACTGGTCTAAATCCTTCCACTGCAACGCACTGTCGGCATGTGCTGTGGCAATTAATATCTCCAATCCAATGCTTCTCTTTGCTGCCCCTTGATTGCAGCTTTGTGTGGCTGCTCAATACACATGAGTGCCTCCTATGGGTGAGCAAGCACCCCTCTGCAGGCGCATGCTTCCAATACCAATGCAGCCCCAGTACGCTGGACTCTGCAGCTATTCCGTGTCAATCACCCTTTAGTGGATACTGTGCCAGAGATGTAATTGCTTGGATGGATCCTTGCTGCGTTTACCATTAGACCTCTGCTGTATTATGGTCTGTTTTTTTTTCTGTGTTTGTGTGGGTGTGTGTGTGCATGTGTGTTTCTTTTTTATGTATTCATATAGTACATGGCCAGCAAGGTGTTATTTCACGAGTAAATTTATGATAAGCATGGTTCAGTTTTAAGAAACCCTATTTCCCCAGATAGACGCCCCGGGGGCTCAACACTTCTTTGGCTTTTTCTTGTTGGGGGGGAGGGTTGGAGGAAGGGGGGGCTTGTGATCGAATGAAATGTGTAAGCCTGGTTCCTGGGCATCCTATGTAACCATTTTATTATACCGTGTTGCCTCGGATAGTACCGTAAGACCCCGGATAGAAGCGCAGGCCTCGGATAAGCGCCGGCGCTTATAAAAGGATGACGGGGCTTATATCCGGTCCTCGATTATAAGCCCACCCCCTAAAAAAAGATGATTTATTATAAGCGCATGTTGTTTTTTCGTTTGAAAACCTGACGAAATACAGAAACGAATTTCACATCATCAGGGAAACGAACTACAAACTTTATTTCCAACACTCTGATCTCAACTTTTGCACGTCTAGTCAGCATGTGCTGTCATTGTGTCAGTTTGAGTTGGCAAGGAATCACTCCCTGCCAAGTTGCGCGAGAATCAGATTCGCGACCTACAATCGGCAGAACGAGATCTATAGTTTGGTGTAAAACAGATAGAAATTCTTTTTGCCATTTTATAAACGCCGACGCTTATAAAATTCCTCGATTATTAGCGCACCCCCTAAAAAACAGTGTTTTTTTTATACCCCCAGGGGCGCTTCTATCCGGGGGCTTACGGTACCGGTAGCGCAATAATAAAATCGGTTTTTTTTAGGGGGGTGCAATTGAGTTAAGGGTATAAGCGCATGCACCTGTAAAAGGTTAAGACTGAAATTTGTTTCAAAGGTACCAAATTGAAGTCCTCAATAAGGCGTACACAGCCGTGGAACCAGGCCCTCAGATTCACTTTTAGGGACGTTTGTGCATTAGGGTCCCTGTGAAAAAAAAGCATGAATTTTCAGGGTTCCTAAAAAAAAACGCCTGAGTTTTCAATCACATTATGCCTTGAATATAAGAGTAGTATTTGCAAAACATGACAACCGAGGGATTTGATTTGAACCGGGAGCTTTACTATTCAAGATCAATGTGGAAATGTTGGTTGACATAATCTCTCAGGTGTTTTACGAGAAGGATTCGGAATGTGCACAGGGTGGATCACGAAGTACCACACATTCCGAGCACAAGCAAAGGCCACAAGGCCAGTTCACATGCAGTGAGCAAGTGAGGCAAAGTAGGTACAAGGCCTAGAACAGTACAGAAACGCTGATGATCACTAGACTGAAATGCCTTGGTGAATATATCAGCAGTGTTGGCCCTAGTGGCCACGTAAGCAAGACGAATCTAACCACGCTGCTGCAACTCTCGAGCAAGGAAGTAACACAGAGCTATGTGCTTCATTCTGTACTCCAGTCTCTGCTCCTGACACAAGGCAATCATTGCCTTGTTGTCTACGTACAGAACTGGAGAAGAACAAGGACGCTCTCCCAGGTCGGTCAGCAGGTAGGTGAGCCAGCGTAGCTCCTGTGCAGCCATGGCCCCGGCGTAGATCTCAGCCTCACAGCTGGAACTGAGAACAGAAGAACAGCGAGTAGACCGCCAAGAAACAGAGCCAGAGCCAAGGCTGAAAGTGTAACCCTGTGACGACCGCTGCGTAGCCAAGTCGTCAACCCAAAAAGCGTCCACGTGGCCAGTGAGGACAACTGGACCCCGTCCTCCAAGCACGAGCCCCATGCCCGACGTACTGCACAAGTAGCGCAACACCCTCTTAGCGGCCTCCCAGTGCTCTGGTCGGTGTCTCCCGGGTGCAACGCAGCGTGCCAGGATGCTAAGAGGGTAGGCAAGGTCAAGTCGAGTGCAGGTCATCAGGTACATGAGGCAGCCTACAAGCTCTGGATACGGACCACTCGGCTCTACGGACTTGTCCGAAGGTGGAGCTGAGAGCAAGTGACCGGTAGGCAGAGGAGTGGACTTTGGTGAGGAGTATCGGAAGCCGAAGCGCTGAAGGACCTGGTGCACCATGTGTGACTGAGTTAGGGTGATGGTGCGCCGTGCTCTGTCCCGGGTGATCTGCAAGCCAAGATAGCTGCGCAGCTCATCCAGGTCAGTGCAAGTGTGTCTCTTCTGCAGCTCCAACTTCACAAGGGCCAGTGCCTCAGTGTCAGCAGTGGCAAAGACGAGGTCGTGGACGTACACGAGGACGTAGAACGGCGGCAGCGAAGTGTCGGTGCGTAGAAACAGCGACGGGTCAGCAGTAGAAGGAGCAAACCCAAGAGCCGCAAGCGTCATCCTCAGTGTGTCGTGCCACTTGCGGTGCGCTTGGCGGAGACCGTAGACTGGCCGCCGGAGGCTCCACTGGGTACCTGAAGGAAATGACCCTGTGAAGCCAGGTGGGCGGCGCAGCCAGATCTCCTCGTGCAGGCTGCCCTGCAAGAATGCTGTGGTGAAGTCAAGAGAGTGCAGCTCGTAGTCATGCTGAGCTGCGACGTGCAGCATTACCCGAAGAGTGGTCTTCTTCGGGGTAGGGGAGAAGGTCTGGAAGAAGTCAACTCCCTATCGCTGACTGAAGCCTCGTGCAACGTAAAGAGCCTTGAAGGCAGGCGGAGAACACGGCGGACGCTTCACCCTGAAAATCCACATGCCATCGACTATGTTCGCCTTAGGAGGGGGAACTGCGTCGACGTAAGTGCTTGTGGACTTCCAAGATGCCATCTCTGCGTCCATGGCTGTCTGCCACTAAGAGGAGTAGGGACCCATAATCGCCTCTGCGTAAGAGCGCGGGTTCGGGATGTCTGGTGCATCCGGGTCTCTCTCAGGGGCAAGCAGCATGGACACGAGATGAGGTACAGCAGCTGCAAGACACTCAAAGTCCTCCTGCCTGTCCTCAAGGACGTCCGTGCCAAGAGCACTCTCACCCCCGACGGACGGAGGACAGTCAGACTCAGACTCGGCAACAAGACTAGCGGCGTAGTCGAGACGACAGGCGGCAGCAAAGTCAACAAGCTCATCAACTAGGGCAGACGTAGCAGGAGACTCAAACGAAGGGTCAATGACAATAGTGGCTAGAAGACGTGGGACAGTAGGACTGGCAGCACGAACTAAGTCAGACTCAGGGTCCGGACCGTGAGCAAGAGAGGACGTAGGAGGAGACGGCAGGGGGACACGCTGTGGAACAGAGGAAGGACGAAGTGCCATAGCGTGCGTGCCAGGGACAGGAGGAGGACGTGGACGAGGAACACGAAGCCAGTGCGAACTGCGCAAACAGGCGAGGCAAGACGAGACACAGGCTCACGACGCTCTGTAAGACCTCCGGTCTACTCAGTGTAAGGAGAAGGAGCAGGTAGTGGGGAGGTTGTCTGTAACAGCGGCTGCGACTGGTCAGGCGGTGGTCAGAGTAAAGGAGGAGTAAGGCCAGGAGAAGACGGGAGACCAAGAACCTGTTGAAGCAGAGGAACGAAGTACGGTCACGGCCTCCCAGTACCTCCAGAACCAGCACCAACAGCACCAGCACCCCAAGGGCCATCGCCTCCATCTCCGGTGTCTCCAGCTCCAACGCATGCAGCACCACCAGCTCCAGCAGCTCCAGTACCTCCAGTACGAGCAGCTCCGGGACCAGCGGCTCCAGTACCTCCAGCAGCTCCAGCTCCAGTACCTCCAGCAGCTCCAGCTCCAAGGCCTCCAGCTCCAACTCCTGCAGCACCACCAGCTCCAGCAGCTCCAGTACCTTCAGTACGAGCACCTCCAGGACTAGCGTCTCCAGTACCTCCAGCAGCTCCAGCTTCAGTGTCTCCAGCTCCTCCAGTGGCAGACCCCCCCCGCTCCAGCAGCGCCACTCCGAAGGCGGGTGCGCCGAGCAAACCACTCGCGCAGCTGCGGTGGAGAGAGAGGCTCCCGCCGCGACAAGGCACCCGGAGGACCTCTAGTAGACAAAGTACCCCCAGGCTCAGTACGCTCAAGCTCAGCACCCTCAGACTCAGCAGCCCCAGGCTCAGCACCCCCAAGCACCGCACTCTCAGGCTCAGCACCCCCACACCCCGCACCCTCAGGATCAGCACCCCCAGGCTCCGCACGTGCAGTCTCAGCACCCTCAGATACAGCACCCCCAGACGCAGCACCTCTAGACGCAACACCTCGAGCAGCACCTGAGTCTACAGCTACCTCGACAGGCACAGCAAGGGGGAGTGGGTCTACCTGAGAAACACCTGAGGGAGTAGGACCCTGAGGGGGGAGGGGGTCTACCGGAGGGGGACCTGGAGCGAGGAAGAGCAGCAGAGCGGTAGGGGAAGAGACGGTAAAAGGGAACCGATTCGTCAAACGGCATGGGGTGGGGTGGTAAAACTGCCAGCCAGGCGCGTCAAGGGGAAAGCCAAGGAAGACGCAAGGAATAGCGCGGGCGGAGAGCTTGTCCACGGACGTATCGCGGACAAAGGCACGAGAACCCCAAACCCGGGACACCGACGCATCGCCAACCTTTCCCGTTTAACGCAGTGTAGGCAAGGTCTCCGGCAAGGAAACACGGGGCCAGAGGTTGAGCTGATGTGCAGCGTACCAGACCGCAAATGGCCACAGAAAATGGGGAGCAGTCGCATGGATCATGGAGGTACGAGCGACCTCCATGACTAAGCCAATGCGACGCTCAGCAATCCCATTTTGCTGTGGTGAGACCGGAAGCGTGAACGACTGGAGAATGCCCTCCCCACGACAAAAGTCCCGCAAGAGGTCGGAGGAGAACTCACCACCTATGTGAGAGTGTAGATGCAGGACAGGAAGGTCCTGGCGGAACCGCTCTTGGAGCTGGAGACGTACTGCACGGATCCAAGGGATCAAGACATCAACGACCTCACCCTTGCTGCGCAAGGGGAAGACGGTGGTG